ATGTAAAAAATAAAATAAAAAATCTATAAATAATAATTTTAATATATTTTTCAATAAAAAACTATTTAAAAATACATCATACATTATAATTCTAAAAACTCCTTAAGAGTTATAATTTGAATTTGCTTTATTTATGATGTTCAACCACAACAATTACACTGCTACAATCACATTTCGAAAATAAACAAGAACCGTGTCAAATGAGTGTAAAAATAAAATAAAATAAAACCCAACAACCACAAATATCACTTTATGCATCTCCTCTCTGAATCCCCAAGAGTCCAAGACTGGCAAAACTAATGCAACATAAGAGCAAGAAGAGAGAATATCATAGAAGAAGAGATCACAGCCATCGAAAGCGGCAACTCAAGCCCAGCTCCAGTGTCCATTGCTGGTGTTGGAACAATGTCCTGTGCCATCACTCCACAAATACGTAACAATGCCACAACCACCATAGCCATCACAATGTGAGTAAATGAACCACCAAATCGCGCCATTATCTTTGATCACAAGAATTTAGAGACAAGAGAATTTAGAAGGGGGTTAATGGATTAAGTAATTGTTGGGGTTAATGTGTGTAATGAGGCAAAGGGAAAAAATGATGAAACTATGGAGTTTACGAGGGTCCTTATATAGTTCATGTCACATGTTCTTACAATTTTTATGCATATATTATGTGAAATGTTGTGATCCCATTAATTATCCCTTTTTAGTTACGGCTTGTGGGAACCATTAAGGTGCAGGGTAGTCATTTGGGCCCTGCAAAATTTATTTATTTTTCTTTCTCTTGACTGTTAAGAATTACTAGCCAAGTGATCGTGGCTAGGGCTTTGGCTACACAGTTAGCATGGTTCCTTCCAAGGTGCCAGGTTTCACTTCTTTCTTTTCTTGCTTCTCTTAAGTCTGGACAGGTGGGAACTCCCCATCGCCAGCTAAATAGCCGTGGCTGCATTTGGAGAGTGGGTCAATCACCAAACATCTCATAGGGCAATTTCATATGGAGACATAGACAGACGGGAAATAATTCTGTCTTCTAATCGAGTTATACAAGAAATTCATGTGTTGGCATAGCCGGAAATTAAGCCGTAGTTATCTCGTGTTTGAATTTATCAGAGGCAAATATAAATAAATTCCATTAATGGAATTTGAGGCTGTGTGATTGAGTTTAATGGATCCCTTTCTACTCCTAAAGAAAATCACTCGAATAAAGATCAATATTTCTCTATTTTCTTTCAAGTTTTTTTTTTTTTTTTTTTTGGGGGGGGGGGGGATTTATGGTACCAATGTTACCAATGATTGAGTTGGATTTTTGTTTATAAAATCTAGGTGAGTGAGTTGATATGTCAAGAAAAGCAAGGTGGCATGTCGGCTTTGATAGCGTTAATCATGTAAAAGAAACAGGTAAACTATCATTGTAGAAGAGCAAATATATATATAAAAAATTGGTGCTAGTTGAAATATCCTCAAATGGTACAAACTAACCCTAACTAAAATAGCGGTTTCCCCTTGTCATTCTAGTCGAATGGCACTCAGATTCCTCGTTATCAAATCTAATCCGAAACCTGGATTAATAAATTCCCTTATGGGTCACGTGGACGCGCAAATTACAATTTTTTTCCCTTTATAATTAGTTAAAAAAAAGGTAATTTTTTTGTTTTACTTTTTATACAAATTATGGATTCAGTTCATCCATTACGAAAAGACCTTAATCAACTTCAATTTTTATTATGTTTGCCTAAATAAATGACTTGAATGGTCTCATTAAAAACCTAAGCCAACCAAGTCCCAATTCACTGGTCTTTCATGATAACGCATTATTTAGGGGACGTATAGTATGAAGAATTTTAGAAATAACTAGATTAGTGGTCAAGCTACATCACACTCTAGGTTAAAAAAGCAAATAGACATAGATCATTCACTTGACTGAGTTTAATTTAATAATATAATTAAAAAAAATCAACAATAAATAAAGGGATGGAATTAGCAATAATTAATTATAAAAAATAAATTGACAATATCATACTTAGAAAAAAAAAATTAATTGGTGACTCATTATCGCTATACTATGAACATTGCTCCACCACTAGAAAAAACTCATTAAGACAGTTCTGACACCATTGTGAAAGGTTGCATAACGACATTGAAAGAGATCATATGTGTCGTCAAAGCAATAACCCGAAAAGCAAAGTATCATGAAATGAGCATCTATTGCTTATATTTAATTAATTAATTTAATTCAAAAACAAAAATTCTTTAAACAAGGTTAAATTTAACAAAGAACAATAATTAAAAAGATATGAGATAGCAATGATTATTTTCAAAATTAATGAAAAAATTTGTAATAAGCAAATAAGAAATGGTGGGGCTCAATCTTCAATTAAATAAACGCTGAATGATGAAACTGAAAAACCATAAGTTTAAAAGGAGGAGAAACAACCAACTAAACTTGGGCAAATCTTATAAACCAAGGTTAATCTTCTAAACTTGCAATTTGTGAAATTCTAGACTCGAGCTCAATTAAGAAGGTCAATTCTCAATCAGTTTAATATTAAAAGATGAAATTAGAAGAAAAAAATATATCAATTTCTAAGATTTGCAAGGAAAAAAATAGCAATCAAAAGAATCATGATCAAATATCACAGATAAAAAAATTAAAGAAGGGATAAATTGAAGAAAAGTTCTAATTTTATAAATAACTTTAAATAAAAAAAGTGATCAAAAAAGAAATGACCAAATCTATAGAAAAAATAAATTGAAAGGCTTTTCTAAAAAATAGAGGGTCGAACATAGAAATGAAGAAGGTTAGAAAAAAATAAGAAAATCAAATAAAAAGTTGAAGACATCATACCAAATGTTGTTACTCATTTTTAGAACCCCACATAAACAAAAAAAAAAGAGAGAGAGAGAAAGAAAAGAGAAAATAAAAAATTGTAAACAATATTGGAAGAAAATCAAAGAAATAATATTAGTAAGAAGAATATCCTAGAACACCAAGGTAGTTATCAAAAACTGATTGGGGAAGATCAAAATATACAAGATTGAAAAATTTGATAGTGTATTTTCACTGATAAAGGTTCTATTGAGAAAGAAAATTCAGTTTGCAGAGAAAAATTCAAAACTAGATATTTAAGGACTTAATTATAATTGCTTAAGGTTTAATTGAGTTTATTGAGGATTTAATTGCAAGAAAAATTAATTTTTAAAGTCAATTTAGACTTTAATTGGAAAAAATAATTCTAAGGCCAAATTGCAGTTCTTAAGAGTTAATTTGGTTAAGTCAAGGGCTTAGTTACATAAATGTTAAAGTTTGATGGGCAATTAGGGATTTAATTAAAGAAATCCAAAACCAAATATCAAACTGAAAAAAAAAGTGAATATAAAGGCTAAAATTGATCAAATAAGGGATCAAATTGAAGAAAATAAAAGTTTGATGATCAATTGAGAGTTAAAATGTATAAATTTAGAACTAAGAATCAAAATGAGAAAGGTGGTCAACTTAGGAGCTATCAATTAAGTTTGACATGAGTGAAATTAGATGAAATTAAAAGTTTAAAGGTAAATATGGATGCAATTAAAAAAAATTGAAAAAGTAGAGACTTAATTAAAATTTATCAATCTCAAATTAAAAACTTTAAACGATGCGTCATTTAAATTTAATAAAGAGAATGTGAGTGGCACGTTGTTCGATAGAATGGCTTGTTTTGATAATTTTGGCTAATGAAATTGACAATTTCAAACGAATGAATGTGAAGCTATAGACTTTCAAATTACATAAGGTTAGATCCAAATAAAAAGTGTGAATCTCCTTTATCAACTTTTGGTGTTTTTAAGTGATGATGACATTAGAATTACTCTAATGAAATCTTGAAAGTAGATCACTCAGTCAACCATCATTAAAACACAATTATGCAAGAACTGGCCATCCTTTCATGTGTTCATACACAAAGGTTTCCAAATGGATTCTTATCAAGGGTTTACAATATTTACCTCAAGATCAAAAGGTTAGAAATTGATTCAAGATTTTCAAAAACCCTAGCAAAACACTATAAATATCCTTTTTAAAAGAGAGCTAAAAATAAAAATAAAAAAATATTCATTAAAACTCTAAGCGTAAAGGTATAAGAGTTTCACATAAGAGATTTCTTTAACTTTGAAAGGATAATAAATCAATGATAAGCAAAACTTTCTAAAAAAAAGCAAAAGAAACAGTGATTATTTTAGTTATATTTTTTAATTCAAAAATAGATCTTGTGATCTATTTGAAATATTCTTAAATTTTATATTTAGAAATGCGCATTGAATGATATTATATTTACCTTTTTAATGTTATTTTTATTTATTTAGTGCATTTACCCCCCTCTCTCTCTATATATGTGGTGTTATTTTAGTTGTTGTTTAATTTAAAAAAGGATGATTTTCATGTTTTGTTAGGTTTATTAATAATCAAAATAAGTTTAAAAAATTAATTTTAAATTTATATTGCATGAATATGTAGTCAAAGCTCGTAGTTTTTTTTTTTTTTATTTCTTGCTTGATTTTAATATTTTAATATTATTTGTTAATTTTTTTTATTTATTTAAGGGTGTCAGTGAATGGTGGTGTGACTTATTAGAGTGAATATAGCATGTTTTATTGAGTAATGAACAAACGAATATGCTTATGAGCCTAACAAAGTTGACTTAGCAGATTTAACGAGCCGAGCTTAATTGTACTCAGACTCGATTGTTTATAGAGTAAGCTTTAAAAATGTATTCAAATTAATTTATTAATCTCAACCAACGAATTTAAACCAAGCCCTTAGTAAGCAGAGCTCCAATCTAATGATAGTATAATTTAAAATTATTGTATTATTTACATTTTAGAAGAACGACTCCGCTCATTTGCGTTCCTAATTAAAAATCTCTAATGAAAAAATAGTCAAGGCGTCTTTGTTTTCAGCGAATGACTCATGGGATGTTCCCAGGAAAAACAAGTCTATGAGTTCTTGATAATTTGTGCTTAAAGACCGGCCATTTTATAGCCAAAATTTTCTTTACCGCAAATGTATTACAAGGAGACATCACACTGGGCCTGCCAGCTACCTTGTCAATCCTTACAACATGCGAAACCAGTCCTTGCAAAACTAACATTAACCAATTTCTTCCTTAAAATAACCTCAATGCTCCTTATAAATAGCCATTCACCACCATTTGATACCATTCAGTCTTGCATAAAGTTTTTTTAATAAAAAAACATCAAGCAATAAAGAATCAGAACCCTTTCTTCATCACCAAGGCAGGTCGCGGCAGCTAATATCACTCTTTTGCGTCATGGGATTGAAGAAGATCTCCTGTGCTGTCCTTGTCGTTGCTGCCTCCATGAGTGCAGCCTTGGCAGCTGATGAAGTCTCAGCACCGGCTCCCTCCCCTACCGGCAGGGCATCCGCAACCTTGCCTGTTGTTGGATCCTTGATTGGGGCTTCCCTTGTGTCGTTCTTTGCCTATTATTTCCAGTAAGCTCATTCAAACTGGAGAAAAATGGACATACATCAAGGAAAGAATGTGAACAAACAAGGGTGTCTTAAAAGGAGGGGATGGGGAAAATGATTGATCTATGTCACAATGGTGGTTAAACATTATTCTGTTTGTTTGTATAATTTGATCAATTCGTTACAGATCTTTTTTTTCTTTTCTTTTTTTGGTTCCATTTTTATGTCATTATGATTGATACGTTGCAATAAAGGATTTTCTTTCAATTTGCAGAAATAATATCCATTCATTAATTGGCAAAAGGAACAAAACATGCGTGGACTATGAAGAACTCATGAAGTATTCATTTTTGAGGAAAACGTTTTGTTCAAAGGCTCATTGAATTATCTTTCATATCAAAATTCGAAGGTCCGTCAACATAATTGGACGTGCACATCACTCATCTATTTGACTGCTTAAAAAACAATGTGTTCTTCAGCAAATACTAGACACAAGACACAAAGGCAACTTGCGTTCGAGCATCTGCATAATTGAAGGATTAGCCTTTTGATGCCTTCTGACCCACTTCACAACATGGTTCTACAAAATTGTAAAGACGATGTTTTTTTACCCCTCGTAAGAGTAGTTTATTTCCATTAAAGGCAGCCATAAATGATCAATCAGCAATTATGCTCTTCATTACCACTCTGGAAAAACACATTATATGTCAAGCACAATTAAGTAGATACCTTTTCCCTCAGCAATGAATAAATTAGTTGGAATCACCTCAAGTATCAGGTCCCTCCATTAATTTTTTTTCTAGACATCAGGCTTTTTGTCAACCAGATAGCTGTTTCTCTGGATGAGACCATTTCTTCTCCGAATGGCTTTAGCACACCAGCAAGCTCGTCAATTTTGTCTTGTTTGAGTAGCCGTGCACAAAGCTCTAGCAAAGATTCTAAAGCATCAGCTCTTTGTTGACTTGTATTCTCCCACTCTCTCTTGGTTTCCTCTCCAGTTAGTGCAGCAAGTGTCCTCAACAATTGTGCATTGCTCATCGCATGAATATCATCTTTCTCTGTCTCCATGGAGCAACTGTCGTTTTCTGGTTTTGCTCGTATTTTATTTTTAAATGGAAGCGCATCATTACTTTCAGATGACAAGTAGTCTATATGAGCACTTTCTGTGTATACATCGGGACTTTCTGGTTTCTGTGAACAGCATTCTGCCTCTGCAGAAGGTTCATTTACAGCTGATGGTGGGCTTTTATCATCAGAGGAAGCATCATGATTAGCACAACTTAGGCTACGAATTTCCGGTTTCCTAGTTTCATCTATTGTATCACCCTGCCCCTCTGTTTGAACTTCTTCAGGAATTTGTCCGCCGCAAAATGGTGCTTGATCCTTTGTGGTCACTATTTTGGCATCAACCTCTTGCAAATTTTGAAAATGCACGGCATTGGGTTCTTTATGCTGAGAATTTGGAATGCTCTCAGAGGTAGACTCAATTTCGGTGCCATCCTTTTGGGGTGGACTGCTATAATCTGCTTGCTTCTCTCCATTGCAAACACTTGTTTCAGAATCAGTGGAGCTGTCTTTTGGACCATCAGATACTTCCACTGAACAGCTAGCAAGATCAACTGTCTTATTTCCAAGGCTATCATCTGTGCTAGACATTGATGTTGACTTGTCATTCTGATGTGAATTGCTTCGATGTGCTTCCATGTTTATCTCAAATGGATGTTCATTTTCTTGCCTCTTTGATGCACCAACTTCCTTGTCTCTGTTGTCTTTGCCAACACTAAGTTGAGCAGGCAATGATTTTCTTCTTGTTTTGTCTTTGGAGTTGTTTATGGAATGTAATGGAAGGAAAACTGAAGATGCATTGCAACAACGGAGGAGTTGTGGTTGCAAATGTGGATGCCTCAATAATTCTGCTGCCTGTTATGTTAAATGTACAGGTATAAGAATGGATAGTGGTGGTAAAAATAATAGAATGCAAACTTAGATCAAACTCACTGTTGGTCTGTGTTCTGGGTTCTTCCTCAGCATGCTCTTCATAATTTGTTTCCTGTAGCATGGAACTCGTATCATATATTTGGACCAAGAGAACTCATCTCATACATTCAGACCACTAAACTCATGGATTTACGCAAGGAAAAAAAATAATACTGCATGCCTATTGTTATATGTGTTTATAGTAGATAAATGCAATAATGATAAATTTGGGAAAGATGGCCCTTACAGAGAGGACGAATACACAATTGGAAGAGGCGAGATGGTGGATCTGTTTATTTTGTTGATGAGTCCAGCCATATCCTGTTCAAGTAAATATTTATTTATCTTACTTTGAAGTTCATATGAAATAAAATGTAGGAGCTTTACTGGTAACCAAATTATAGTGATACTGCATTCTCGCACACATGCACACACATACAATAGCTAAGGCTTGTACTTACAGGAGCTCTAAATGCTGGTTGATGTGCTGCAATTTCAAACATACAGCATCCTGGAACAGCAGAAAGATGTTATTGCCAGTGAAGCAGTAAATTTGATGAATTCAAAACCATGCTGTCAGATTTCTTACCAAGGGACCATATGTCAGATTTGTAGCCATAAGGTATATCTGCTAGGAGCTCAGGACACATGTAATTAGGAGTGCCAACTACCTATGCGACATGTGAAGGCATAGAAAACAGAAAGATTAAAAGAACCATTTTAAGATAAGCAGTTCAAACATCAGCTCTTAGGATTTTGAATCTGAACATACTGAGACACTAAATGGGACTGCACTTCTGAACTGCAGGTGTTAAATACATTAAGATTTTGAGAGGAAAAGTTGTAACAGTTCAAAATCAAGGGCATAATTTCAATTAACACGTTAAACAAAGTAAACCAGTAATATACTGGAATGCATTCAAGTCCATACCGAAGAAGCAAGGTCCTCTGTGTTGAGCAGCTTTGCAAGTCCAAAGTCACCTGTTCAGGCCACACAAAATACACTAAGAAGAAATGAAGATATAAAATCCAAACCCAATGAAAAAGAAAATCCTTCTGGCTAGCATTTCTTTTGGCTCACATACCTAGGCGAATATCATTATCCTTTGTAAGGAATATGTTGGAACACTGGAATGAAGTCATCAGTGAGTTTATGTCAGCAACAGAAATATTTGTAAGCTTTCCTTCATTTCTTGAGTGAGGTTAAGCATACCTTTAGATCTCTGTGAAGGACACGGTTAGAATGCAAGTAGTCCACAGCTAGCAACAACTGAGCCAGCCATTTGCAAAGTTTCTGGGAAACAAAACAGGAGAATGATGTTCATAAGGTGTAGGTGATAACTGATAAACTTGAAGCATGTGAAAACCTAAATGATTACCTCCTCTGGAAAAAATATTCCTCTCGCTTTCTTTATAATCCCAGCCCTGGTTGGAGGAAAAGAAAAGGAAAGATCTTTTCATTTAGCCCCTCATGAAGTATTCTGACAACGTATTTAATTTTTAGCCTTACTCTTATATTATCTTCTGATGTGAATGTTTTACTGATTAACTTTCTAGATCAAGATCTCATATCTTAGAAGTGTCAGGTCAGAAATATATTTACATTACATCTCTTATCCTATCTACAATAGTGATACATGCTTTCACATAAACTTACATGTCTCCTCCTTCACAGTAGCCTGTTACTATGCATACACAGTTTCCCTGCATACCATATAGAAACATAAACATTTTTATGTAGGTGGAAAACCATTTCAGAGTCGATGTTAATCTCAAAGGTAATAATTTCCATGAAATTGTACAGAAGAACATTAAGAAATGATGTGGTTACCTTGTCGACCCAAGAATCCTTGTACTCCACAATGTAAGGGTTGTTTAGTTTCGCAATCAAATTCATCTGCAGAACATATGAACCAAGATTTTGGTCTTTTATGCATTGATAAAAATATGAAAAGCTGTGATTATATAATCATCATCATCATTGAACTATTGAAAAATTCCTAGGTGAAAACATATTTTACAATTTGATTAGTATTTCCAAAACAGCAACTAGTGCAAAGGAAAGGGGGCAACATTAAAAATTTGTTCACGGGGTTATAAAAAAAATACATGTACTTCTAACAACCTGTCATGATTAAGTTGATTAAAGTAGATATGATGACAAATGAGATCAGAACAATATAAATATCCTAGTTAGTTTTCTAGGCTCCTAACGAGTAAAATTAATCAGATGACTAATTGGCAACAAATTTCTTAAGCAATAACATGAAAATATCTAAAAGTTTATTCCTTATCAACATTGAAGAAAAAAGTTCCAATTTCCCATAAGAAAAAAAAAGGAAAAGATTAGTATAAAAAAGTGAAGGTCACCTCCTGATGAGCTGTGCGCTTAAACTTCTCTGTCTGCTTGGCCAACCGAATCTTCTTCAACACATACCTACCAAAAAGAAAAAAAAGAACCTCAAAAATCAGCTATTTAGACCAAAACAGTGACTGCTAGAAGACAAAGGATCGTGCGGGCACAACCATTACCTAACCCTGTGAAGCCAAACTCACAATTTCGATCAACAAATTTGCGTTTATAATTGAAATCAAATTAACATAATCAATTTTTTAAAAAAAACAGGTCATATCCTTCGATCATTCAATACCATGAACCAATCTTTTGGATACTAGTACACCAATGGAAATTCGATTGAATTAATCAAGTGGGTTGCTCTAGTTATATGCACAAGATCCATAGAAATAAAGAGAAGAAACAAAATTTACAAGCAAAATTAACTTCTAACTTTTTTTTCTCGGTTTTATGAAGAACAAGGAAAGCAGAACCAAAAGCTCCTCTTCCAATCTGCTCTATAACTTCATAATCTTCCATCTTTGACTTCACTTCACCGGTATCTGCCTCCATTAGAACCTACAACAAAAGGCCACACAGCATAAATGAGTCGTTGCTGATTTGGAAGCAAATTTTACAAATTCTAACACAAAAGGAAATCTTGGGGTCTCATGGCTAAGTTCTATGTTAAGACTTTTACCTCGCAGGAGAAGAAAAACGATGCAAACTTCGAAGAAGAAAAGGCCAATACTAGCAGCTAGTGGTAGTACAGACAGTATTAATTAGTCTCTAGATGAGTGAAATCGATGCTAGAAAGATGGGAATATAGACACTATTGAAGCAACCATGGACAGTGAGTTTCATGGGCCTTGTAGGTAAAAGAGACAATAGAGTTGAGTAAAGCTACATTCCACAATTATGACAGCAATAAATAGTGGAAAGAAAGAAGGACAGGTCAATTAAATTAAAGACTTGATGACTTACCAAAAGCAGAGGAAGAAGGGGTTGGAGAGGTGGGGGTGAAGGGACACGGAGTCACAGACACACTCAAGTAATGTGGAGCACATCCATGTAATAGAGAAATATATATATATATATATATATATATATATATATAGTTGTACTTATATGGTAGTTGTTTATCTATCTACCAAATATAAAAATGGAAGAGAGAAATAGAATAATAAAAAGGGCATCATCAATGACAGGTATGGCATATCAAAGAAAAAGGAAAAGGCTTTGCTTTCATTTACAGATTCATGGAAGATCACTTATGCCGCAGAGGAATGTTTCCTGGCATTCAGTTGTGAAGTCACCGTCCTTACAACTGGATTTGGGACAAAAGATATCTTATTTTATAATATGAAGCTGGTTTTGGTTTTGAAAATCAGCATGGTTATTGTTTTTCAAGAATTTTTTATTTAGAAATATATTAAAATATTTTTTTATTTTTTTAAATTTATTTTTAACATCAAAACAATTTAAAAATATCTAAAAATAATTTAAAACAAAAAAAAAATCGCATTCCTTTGAAAACCATTTTAAAAGGAAAAAATGTTGAAGCACCTACCAGAAAGTTACATGATATTTGCGCTGTTATTGATGTAGGTTTTTGTCTTCAAGGGTACATGATGAATGTCTTAAAATTTTGTAGTTTGAAACCAGTGAAATAATTTATCATATGCATCTAGGGGTATAATCATGGGATTTGGAAATGCTTTTGCTGGGCCCTATGTGAAAACCAATAAGTGAGTAGGCTCAGATATATTTAATGAGGGCCAAGTTTGTGGCTTGGTCTTCCGTGATTGAGTAGCTGGGTCGGTGGACCAGAGGATGTAATACGTGTGAAGTTGCTTTTAATTTAGGAAAATAATGGCCCCAAAACTTAATGTCCGATAGGAAAATGACATAGGCTTGGGTGTCGAACGATGAGGTTATGATGTCACGATAGCGTGAATGGTGATCTTGTTGCTAAATATGAAAAGGGAAGGAAAAAAATTGTCACTCGTGCAAAGAATCAGCTAAGATATGGCTTCCGTCTGCAACAAACGAGATCGAAATCAGCATATGTTCATGATGAAATTGGACCCTGCATCTTGAGCAGCGGCAAAGGGTACCAAATGCTTGCTTTGCTCGCTAGTTATCGCCCGAGCACATGCCCACCACGCAAATTCAAAGTTGTTAGCCGGGTTAGGATTGGCCTGGTTTGAAGATTGATTTAGAAAAAAAATTGAGTTATTGAGTCATCTAGTCAATTAAGAGGTTATTGTGTTAATATGAATCAGTTATTTTTATTAAAAATAATAACATTTTGTTTTAAAAAAAAAAATTATTAGAGCTAACCTAAACATGTTTAAATAGAATTCAACCAAATCTACTGAGTAATGAGTTAATTTAGTTATGGATCAACGTCAATCAAATTTTACAAATCAATGTGTTTTTTAATTCAACCTGAAACAGTTTTTAATTCAACCTAAAATTTGATGAGTTAGGCTTTAAATCACCGATTTTCTAGAAGGTTTTTAACAACTACGCGCAAATCAAGTAAAATTCCTGGAGAGGACATAAAAGTCTAGTTAGATAAAGCCCTTCCTTCTCCTTTCCTTTTTCAAGCTTGACACTTTTCCTAGCAGTAGGCCCACGCAAGGTTCAAGTTTGTCTCATTATGCATCAACGGTTTACAATAATCCGCCCGTGGCACGAAAGAAGCTATTGCCGAATACTCATCGATTGTGTGGCATGAAATCCAGATAAATTACTTTGTATACAATATTGCCTTGAAAGCTGCAACCACTATTCTTTTTAGGGCCATCTTCAGCGCCGTTCAAAAATCCTAAGGGGCCGGAAGCACATCTTAAGGGCTCCAAGAGCCATCGCTCAAGGACCGAGACCGGAGGTGACTTTGGATTTCTTCAAAAACACTCGAGAGCGAGGCCGAGGCCGAGGAACCTGAAGAGTTAAAAGGGCATTGGACTGGATCTAGATACTGCAGTTAAAAACTTGAAGGAACAGTGCGTCCAGAATGGTATAAAGAAGAGACCTCAAATGCACACGCCTAGCTGTCCCTTTCAGTGAAATAACTAGAAACAAGACATTTGAACCTGGAGCTCACAGTATGCAGAATTTGTACAAAAACAAGTTCTAGATTTAAACAATATTCCAGTTAAGTTACTTTTGCTTCGACTTCTTGGAGCCCTTACGGCGGCTTTCTATTTTCTCCTGTATTGCTTCAAATTCTTCTTCAGTGGGTTCTGATGTTGAATTGCTCCCACCATATTTGGACTCCAGAGACGAGAGAAAGGAATTCACCTGGTTCTTCCTCTTACTTTGGCGCTCAGATATGATTGCAAATAGGTCTGCTTCTGGCTCCTTTTTGGACCTGCAAAAGATAAAAACATAATAGCATCATAAATAAGAACTTAATAAAATATGAAGAAAAAAAACCCTATCCTAGAATACTCACTTCACCCTCCTTTTTAAGGGGTTCGTAGGCGGTTTTGTTTCAGACACTCGTTTAGCCCATTTCTGGTAAGCTTTGGTTCTCTTCACTTCTCCTATAACAGAAAGCAAATAAAAAGCAAACGGCGTCACAAAAGCTAACCAGCCATGTTGTCTCAGGCTCTCAGATTCTCATTCTTCATGTAAAGGTATGGTAAAGAGTTCAAAAAGTTTTAACCTACTGAAATGTCCACATGGAACATTTGCTGACAACATCACTTAGAGAGTTTAGAGCCACCTTTACCTGTAGATATTGCCTCATCCACAATGTCCATGAATCGGTGTGAATCAAGCTTAGGATCAGAGCAAAGCATTGAACAGAAAAGCCTGAAAATGTTCCATGTCAAACTATAAAGTCTGGAAAAAGGAAGTTCAATTCAAACTAGGAAACCTGGGAGAAAAGCCTGGAACTAATTACCTGCTCATGTTACCCTTGCACTCCTTATAGAGTTCAATCAAATCCTTTTTTTCAGAATCAGATCCCCTGTAGTTTGCTTCAAACTCTTCGATATCAGCTTCAGTGACCTGAATTTGAAGTCCAGTGTCAACTCAAGCTATTGGAAAGCCAAAATAATAGTATATGAAAACAGGAAACATGCAGGACCAGATATTATGACCTTTTTGTAAAAAGTTCTGAAAAAATCCTTCAAATTCTGAACAACGTCCCCTGCAAGATCCTGACCAACAAGAAAAGCAAGGTTCACAATGCCGGATGAAAAGATAACATCTCAATTCCCCAAGAACCTAAATCATTCATTTTTCTTTTCATAGTAATGGAATGAATTAATTTTTTTTTCCTTTTCAGAATAATAAGAAGAAGAAAATTGAAACCAGCACATCATTGCTCTCTGTGACTGCAAGTTTTTTGCAATGGATGGCAAACTGTCTTTGCCTTCCAAGTTAAATACTTGAAGGCATATACAGCAAATTTTAGTAGCCTAAGAACATCCTATAATCCTGGACTCGTTAATCCAAATAAAAATAGCTAAAACAGAAGCACTCACTGTATCATCGACACAGCCAGTTTGATCATAGACCGCCTTTTTTTCCTCATCACCAAGAATCGATATCACCTTTTGCAATTGTTGAAATTTCTCCTTAGCTTCCTATTATGAGACAAAATCACATGTCATAAACAAATAGCACTAAAACAAAGACGCCAGTAAGAAAAATAGGAATCCAAACAAATTACCTCGTCACCTGGATTTTTATCAGGATGGAGTTGCAACGCCAACTTATAGTATGCTTTCTTTATTTCCTGTTGAGATGCTGTCTTTGCAACACCAAGAACCTACAACAAGTGGGTTGCCATTTTGTTAGCTCACTTCATTACAAATTGAAAAGTAAACCGCATCACAAAGCAAAGCAAAGACAAGAGGGGGTCAGAACTCAGACAAGATAAGAAACAGAAATACAGAGAGCGCTTAACTCATGAACAATGCACCAAAGGCAGAAATAGAGCCAAAAGGCGAAAGCAAACAGAAGCACCAAAAATGCATAATTTTGCCATGGAGTCACCTGCTCACCACATGCTAGAACAAGAGGGATAGGTTCAATCTACCATCTGCACTGCACCTCGACAAATAAATACTCACTGCAACCTACTTAAACGACTCAAATATATTCTTAGCGCAATCGATTATTCTACTCAAAACATATAAACTTCAAATAAATAAACGATATTTATAAAAGTATACCAACATCGAAAGCGAATTCTCTTTCGCTATTTTGTATGCTAATTGCAAGCCCTCACTTAATTTCCTAAAAGACGATAAAGAAATCATTTTAATGGAACAATTCAGTAAGATTAACAATGCTTTCTCATGTTCTTGAACCTATTCCCCAACTAGATTTACATACCGCAGTTTCACAAATTCAGCATTTGTCATAATGTCTTTTGCAAGTTATTCAATGGAAAAAGTTGCAGAAAAAACAAGAAACCCTAATTTCCCATTTACATCGTATAAAAACATTCAATAGAATCTGAGCTAAACTGCAATCAAAGCGCAAAAAAAAAAAAAAACTATTTTAAGAAATAACAAAAACCCAATAATCTCATTTCAAATTTAAGCCCGAAACATCATTAAAAGCATGTAAAACAAACAAGCAAAATAAGACAATGAAACAGAATATAAATGTTCAAATACCTCGTAGAGACTCTTCTCATTTGCAGAGGATTGGCTCGTATTCTCTTGATGTTCCTCTTCTACTTCGGATTCAATCTCTTCTTCTTCTTCGCGAGAAACCCTAGGTTTCTTTCCCTTCCTTCCCATTTTTAGCTTTCAGTTTTGCGTGCAGAGTGGGTTGAGAGAGAGTGAGAGCGAGAGAAGTGAGAGGTTTTGTTTCCTTTTATATTCCCGCCACTTTGCTCGATTTCCCGCCGGAATGTTCTGATCTGTTGGCTCCTCTCCTCTGTGATGGTTTGGTGTGCAGGTACATCTCAACCGCGAAATGTATGTGGGACCCATTATTTTAACGGTTTTGATGAGTTTCGATTGAGGGGACCTTGCGTGTGCGATCATTTGAAGGAGAGGCTGTGTTTGGTTACTGTTTAAAAGTTGAAAATTAAATGTTGGTGATGTCAAAAAATAGTTGGAATATAGAAGTTTTAAAAAAATATCTGATTGGTTTGTAGGAATTAAGTGTAATGATAGAGTATAATATAAGTAAAATTGAAAAATAATATATAACTATTTTCGTTGCCTGCAAACCTCTGGGATATGAATTCGAGGTGTAATAAACCTTTTTATAAACAAATAATTAACATTAACAAAAAAAAAAAAAAAAACCATGTTAAGAAGAAACTGTTGTGGGACTGTAGCATTATTAACGACACCTATTTTGGATCTCCCTCTGCAATATTAGAAGAGCTGTTATGGTTTGCTTTGCTTGGAAAATATGTTATGTTGGATTGAGATAAGATTTTGCATTCTTTGTGATATCATTGCGTAACAGATTATGCTCTCTTTTTTTTCTGACTATAAATTTAAAATTTTTTATTTTTTTTTAGTTTACAGGCATTTTTTAGATTGTACATTTATTTTGATCATTTTTATTTTTATTATGAATTGAAAGAGTATTTCAATTTCTCTTTAATTCTCACAAGTTATTATCTAAAATTACAAACAAAATTATTTTTTATGTCAAGAAGATGTGAATCAATTGACAACATGTTTTTTTTTATCCTCATTCTCACTAGCCAATAAAGGCAAATCAAAAAATTTTCTTTCTTTCTTCTCTCTTCACACAAGCAACATTGACTCTCTCTTTTCATCTTAGTCATTTCATTTTAATCAATTAATTTTGGAGTTGTCTTGTTTTTTATTAAGAGTTGGTTTTTTTTTCATACATCAACATCCTTTTGTTTGAAGTTATGAGATTTTTTAAAGATTGTTTTTTGAATTTTTTACAGGTTGATTGGTCTTTGCATCTTTTTTTATAGGAGTTGAAGACACGAGAGAGGGAAGCAAAGATGACTAAGTCGGGTTACAAAAATTACTAATTTTGATTTTTCATTTGGGTCTCTTTGAATTAATAAAAAATAGAATCTTTGAATTTATTAATATTGTATATATTATTTCTTGGGTTTTTGTTTTTTGGAGTGAAATAAATGTTAGTTAGGATCTATTTCTTGAAATTTACATACTGGTGTTTGTAATGATGGTGCTTTTTTAACTAGTTCATTATTTATTTAATGATTTTTTTATAACTATTCCTTTATAAATTGTAAGTTAAAGTCCGTAGAAAAAAGTCGACAAATAATATATATGCTATAAAGAAGCTTAAGAAATTAGAGATGTTTTGTTAAGGTCATAGAAGTGATTTTGTTAAGCTTTCCTAACAATTTTATTGGATTTCTTTTTTATTATATGTTTATTTTCAATTTGAATCTAAATGTTCAAGTTAAACATTTGAAAGTATAAATAATTCATAAATTATTTTAAATTAAAGTTCAATCGATAGATAAGTTAGGGTTTGAGCACATCTATGGCTATAGTTTAAATAGATTTTGAAATATGATTTTGAATCTTTTCAGGGAGGGATTTTTTTATTGTTCACAATATTAATTTCGTTTTAGTTTTCATAGATTATTTTTGAGATAATAATGAAAGCATCATGAATCGAAAATTTTAATGTGATTGTCAATTATAATAGTAGTTTAATTTTATTTGATTATAATTACTACTAATATATTTATTGGTTTTTTCTCTTTTTATATGTGATATGTCTTTTAGTTATTGTGCCCATAATTATTTTACAATGAACCATCTAAGATTAAATTATTGCATTGTCTGGTGGCTCTTAATCAACTATTTTTTAGAATTTTTTTATTTCATAAATCGATGGTATTCAGGTGAGTGTTTATATTGTTGAAATATTTGACTTAGTATGCTACCATCTCTATCTCTATATTATAAGAGTGCAAAGTGACACGACTAAAAGGTTGATGTCTTCTCCCAAGTGCAGGAGTGTCGAAGTAATAAATAACCCGGCAAGACCGGGGTCGAACCACAGGAAGGTTAATTGTACAAATTATAAACAACAATTATAAAACAACAATAACAACAACAACAACAATAATAATAATAGTAGTAGTAGTAGTAGTAGTAGTACTAATAATAATAATAATAATAATAATAATAATAATAAAGAAAGAGAAGAAGAAGAAGATGATGATGATGAGAACTTGGAGATCAAATATTAATGTAAGGATTAAGCAATAATAATAACAAATGTCAAGGTTAGAGGTTCCACTAATGGTATATCAAACAAGTATAGTATAAACTCTTATTATTGAATTGGAAACCACACACAAAGGAGGTTCCAATCAGATTATATATTGTTAACATGATTACATTAGTCATCTTATTCAATTAATGCTAATACTTGTAAATTTCGTCAAGCATTCATGATTATAACTTATGTTAACAACAAATCAAGTTCCTTTCATAGCTCAGGTGTCGGTTATACCATACATTATGGGCTATGAAAGTGCCAAGCATTTGTTGTACCAAGTGTTATACAACATAAATCAAGATTAGTCATTTAACAAGCAAAGTATTAAAGAGTGAACAAGATAACAAATATAAAACATGTTAGTATCAAACATTAAGGTCCATATTAAGTTTACACTATACTTATTCTTCCACCATTAGTGTAACCTTTTCACCTTGACATAATTAACTTAGCTAGACATAATGAAAGAAAGGAAAACAAATAAACAAAATAAGAACATAAAAGTTAACTAAGTAAAGGAAAGGAAATGAAAGGCATAAACTTAATATTAATGAAAGCAAAGCATAAACATTACAAAAAATACAAAGAGAGAAAGGAAGAGCATGATCTTGATCTGGAAACCAAGATGCCTAAATGCATGGCAAATGCCTCCTTTTATAGGCCAAAATTGGGAGCTATTGATTTGATGACTAATTGATAAGTGGGTGGCCAACTTTTGACTTGGTGACAATTCTTATCTTCTTTTGTCTGCCCAAAATGTCATTGATAACGTCACAATTAGAGCCAGTTGAAAACATGAAAGTTTTAGGCAATTGTCTCAGCTATCTTGTGTAACAAATTCAGCTCATTTGGACTTCTAGAACTCCAGATATGGCCAAAATACCGAACAGTGCTCGGGCTGGAAGACAGATTCGGGCTTCTTTGTTGTTGCTACAATTTGGACTTGAAAATGGACTTTTTAGATCTTGGGCTCCATATAAAAGTTGTAGGCCTATGTCTTACCTTTCCATCCATATAAATTGGACCTAAATCTGAGATATATAGCTCCAGATATGACTCAATTACCGAACAGTGTTCCGGTTTGGATTGCACCGACATCTCTTTTCTAAGTTTGGCCATCTCTTTATCCTTGCAATTTAAGTTCTTGAAGTCATCAATCAATCCTTTCATTTATGTGATAGGCCTGCATTAAAGATAGACATTTATCACAAATTATAGGTATCTTATATTATTAGATATATTATTATAAAACATGCTTTAGTTAAGGAGTTATTGATACTTCAAGTGCAAAATGATGATATAAAACCATGATAAAAATACACTTTTAAGTACTAATCACAAAGCTTCAAGTATTTTCATTAGAGTTAACAAGTTTCATATACTACATGAAATATAATTTTTATGTCCTCATCTTGCCTTTTCACAATTTTATCCTTTTGTTTTAATAGTTGAAGGTGCTAGGTGTGCTGTTATTTCTGCATGGTTTTAATCAACTCCTTATAAAGGCCATACTCCATAAGTTTGACATTTTTTTTTCATATATTGTAAGGTTATTTTGCTTTTCTCCTATTTTCAGAATTCAATAGAATTTATATTTTTAAATTTAGCCTTAAAAAATGACATCATTTTTAGATCCATGTGCACTTTGGATCCAATAAGATATATACTTGATAAAAGAAAAATAGGGGGTAGGGAGTTTAATAACATTCATATAGATGAACTCGTTTACGATTGAAAATGAAGTGCTCATTTTACGAATGATACCACTATAAACCATTAAAATAAATAAAAGATGTAGGCCTTAACCATTTCTTTTCATACATGCTAAGTATTTTTTTTTTTGTGCTAGTTATTTCAATAGTTTGTTTTTCAGTTTCTTCTTCTCATGCCTTTGAATTTGGAACTAAGAAGAAAAGAGTGAGAAACTTAAATTATCTTACTTGCTTTTCTAGCATTATTTCTAAAGGATTAAAATTTCTTTATTGAAACGGGGTGTTGCTAGATATTTGTTGATTTGCACAATAACATTGTTTTTATTTTGTAACTGATATTATTTATCGATAAGATTCGACTGCAGCCTGTTTTGTCAAATATAACTTTACAGATAATAATCTAGATCTCAACTCTATTGATTGTCATTGCATATTTAGTTTATTTTTGTTTACCTTTTCATTTTTATTAGACCTTCAGCCACAATAATTTACTACTAAATCAACTGCAGCACCTTATTCTTTTTTTTTCCGGTCTTGGCTGTTAAGATAACTATATTTCATATGATATCTCACTACCAAGTTTTGCGTGGGCTTTTGACTTTTTACAATATATTCTACCTAACTTTAATTGGTTAAAGTCAATTTGCATTCCTTGGGCTTAACTATTGTTTAGGCAACTAACTTGCCTAGCATTGTTTTTCTTTAATCCATATCACTTTAGTTAGATCAATCGCTTTGATAGATTATGGCTTCTCAAATTTATGCTTCACCATATCTTTTTTGCTAACATAATTTATCCATTACTTTTGCTAGTTTAGGAATGTGCTCATAGTTTCTTTTATTCAAAATCTTTCTCGTTCTAATAAGTTATCTAAGCCTTTCTAATAAATTTACATCTATCTTACTTGATACCTATGATTGCAATCATATCTATTTCCATCTTGCATTCTCATTTATGATATTACAAAAAAACATTCTATAAACTTGCTTTATTGGTAATGATATATGTTTTTGTAGGCTCTATGCTGCTTTGGATTAGTATTATTTAAGAATAATTTATTTATGAAGTTAACTACATTTTTTTATGTTTATGCTTTTAGTTTGGTGGCACTAGGTTTTTAGATATTGGTTGAATATCAAATAATTTGTATTTGAATTGTGTTTTGTGATTTCATTACTCTGTTATACAATGAAAAATTAATATAATGCATGGTGGAATCTCTCTTTTGATCTATCAAAACATGCTCTTAATACTTTTGGTGTCATCTATGATTTAATTTCATTTCCAGTTCTTTTCGTATGCCATATAATTATTATTATTTTTTTATGATGACATGTATTGGAATCTTTTACTCTTGAGATTTTTTCAAAGAAATACGAAGCTTCTAATCTTTTTTCCTCAAACTTTTTTTTTAGTTGCTTGATGATTCATATTTTATTTACATGATATGTATCCATAGACGATCATGCCATGTATGCATTGGATATTATTTTGAAGCTTTTTCTAAAACTCATTTCCTTTAATAGCATTCGACTTAACTTTTGCTATTAGTGTTATATCCAACTCCTTTTAATTTATTAAGTGCTTCTTTGCTTTAGAATTATTGGATAACAAATATTTTTAATTAAAAATATTATTATTTAAGCACTCCATTCATTGCCTTTTAATGAATCTAGATCCTACTTGCATGCTAGGAAAGTTCTTCATTTTCCCTCTTGCTATATGATTTAGGTTTCATAAATTTATAGTTGACAAGGAAGCTATGTCAAGCTTGCATGCACCAGTCCAACTAGTATCAACCTATAATATGTAAAATTAAGATCATAACACATTGCATCAATTCAGATTAATATTCTAAATTCTTAATTTGAATCACGAGGTTATAATAATTCAAAATAAAATAAATTATAAATTTCAATTATATATCCAAAATATTAACCCAACAAGTATGATTTTAATTCAAATAAAAAAATAAACTAACTTGAAATTATTCAATTCAAACACAAATAAAAAAGTAAAAGTTGAATCGATATAACCCGATTGACTAGATGAGCCAAAAGACAACATGAATGGTTGGTCAAAATATACTTTGTCTTGAACAAAATTCAAGGTAATTTTTTTTTAAATACCGAGATGACAATGTGTTTATCTAAATCAATACAGGTTAACTTTTCAAATCTATGAATTGTGTTATGAGGTCATAATAACCTTGAATAAAAAAATAAAAAAAATTATAAAACTTAATTTTCAACAAACTCATTATCGAATGATGGTTATAAGAAAGATCTAATATAAAAAAATAACACAAAAAATGATATTTCAAAACAAAATTATGAAAACGCCACCGACAATCTTATAAAACATTTCTAAATCCTTATTGCCTTACAATTTTAACTTGGAATAAAAAAATATATTATGAGATTTCTCATAAAATATCAGCCTAATCCAACAATTAAATTGAGAAATATGATTGATATAATAAAATTAGACAATATTTCTTAAAAGAATAAGAAAAAAAATATTTGGTCGGAACATAACCATAACGTTCTGGTCGGAATTAACAACTTATTTTATTTTATTTTATAAATTAAAATAAATGAAGATTTCAAGTGAGATAAAAAATTATTATGAATTGTTTTGTTTTAAAAATTATAATAAGATATACTTACCATTCCAAATGTAACTAATTGAATTGAAGAACCTTTTGAGCCGACACTGAATAAACAAACAGAGCTGTTGTTTAAATCCTAAAACAAATAAAGAAAAGAAAATAATATTTGGTTGAAACTTTTGTATTTGATAATTAATTTTAGAGTTGGAATCTTATTCTTCTCAGTATTTGTTTTTATTATTATAATTTATTTTTAAAAAAAATTAATATAATTTTAATGCATTGATATAAAATTTTTTAATATATTTTTATTTAAAAAAACACAGCATTACAATAGCACACATTAAGAATTATTATAAAAAATAAGAATTATTACAGAGAATCATGATGATATACCAACCAGAAATCAAGATATTCATTAATCCCACAACAATGAACAAACAAACATGATTAAAGTGTCAAACTCGTCATTTGAATTTTGAAATCATCATTATTGATAATTGCCTGGTAGATTTAAATGGAAGAGAAAAAAAATCCATAAGATAAAATTACAGTACGAGACATAGCCGATTCAACCTTGCGAGCCCTGTCCACGAGCTGTCCGAGCCAGGTCAGCCCAACACACGATGATACAACACGGTCAACAGACATCAAAGTAACGGCTAGAGAAGTAAAATAAACCAATTCGGAGGGTAAATAGTCAGAACATGACAGACTCCATGGAAGGAGTTTGTTGGCAGAGGAAAAAAAAAGTGATATAAAAAATAATAATGAGATATGAGTACGTTACAAGATAAATGATTGTGTTTGAGCCTTCAACTATCGAAGTTTCCCCAGTTTAGTCCCTCTACTATGTTGTGTTTCAATATTATCCGTGTTTAATATTTTTTTCTATTAACGTGATCCTTGTTTTAAAAGATGTTAAAAAATTTTCAGTTATAATATTTCTTATGCCTTTTCAATTTTAATATCACCCTTCTAGTTTTGACAATTCTCTTATCCTCCATTAAAGTTTTTGTTTTATTGTTATTATAGCTAGCAGGATATAGAGATCTACAAAGCAAAATGGCAATAAAAATATAAAATTATAATCACAAAAAATCAATTTGAAATAGTTCTTTGAGTCCCTTTTTATCATAGTTAATGAAACATCAACTCTTAAATTTCTAAAATTCTCTATTATATTTTGAAAAAAATAATTAACTAAAAATGAAGGGGTGTTTTAAATAGTAACAACGAGTGTTTTTTAAAGTATTTTTGCTGTATTAAAATAATATATTTTTTATTTTTAAAAATTTATTTATAATATTGACATATCAAAATAATTTCAAAAAATACATAAATCTATTAACTATAAGTTTTAGGTAATCATTGGTTTATTTTTCAAGTAACAATGCGAAAAAACCAGCTTTTAAACATAACTTTGAGTAACTTTCAATAGCTTGGTGCCATATAACGAGTGATATTAATATTATTCCAGCTTATGATTCTATAAATAAAGAGTTATAAAGATGATATTTGAAAACAATATTAATAAAAGGATCAAAATAAGATAAGATAGAGAGTAAAAGGACCAAATAAACACCATCAACCCTAAATAGATATATGTATATATACAGAAAAACTAGTATTAGAAAATTAAAAATACCAAAAATATAAAAAACAAACACCACCGAAAATAACCAATCTCTCTCCGTCTCCCTCCCTCCATCTTTGGTTCGATTTCTTCGATAGTAACCCACGATTGATTCTATCTCTTTGATTAAGGTAAGGTTGTCTCTGAATTTTTTTCGTCTTCTTCTAGATTTATTAATTTAATTGATTTTTTTTCTAATTGAATTTTGAATATTTTTTCTTGCTTTTAGCTTGATAGAAACTACCTGGTTCGATTTTGTTAGTCAAGATCGGCCAGAATTATTAAAGAGGTTAGTGGGTTTATTTTTTTAAAACATTTTTTTGTTTTATTATTTGTGTTTTAATTGAAACCGATGAGAAAGTAAATGAAATGGAATCCTGATTAATTAATTTAAATGAAAACTTTGCATATCATGGCTTCTGGATGCTGAATTCCGTGTGTTAATGGAGAAACTGAGTGTTTTATATTTACCATGCATGTTCGTAGTGAATTTCTCAATGATTTATTGACTTTTTAGCGTTTTGGAGTAAAATTGATGGTAAAAATTTATGCTTTAATTGTCAATTATGTGTTTATGGCTGTTTTCACAGATATTGATCGGTTTAGATGCTGTTTTGGGCATCTGGGGTGTCATTTTATAAGGTGAAAACGATTGTTTTTGTTTCAATTTTGACGAGTAACAGTTCCTCGAAGTGATAGATAGATGACATTTTAGGTAATTAGGAGTTAAAGGTTTTATTTTACCCATGGATGTTTGTTTTGGTAATGATTCTCTCTGTCTCTCTCTCTCCGAGGAGGAAGGTGCTTGATTTGAGTAAAAACAGGAGCAGATAGTGTGGCTCTTGACTGGGAGCTTCAGGACGGGGAGGATGTGTGTTGCATGAGAAGGTCCCTCATTTATTGTTCTTGCATAGGAAGGCATGACTTTCTAGCTGTTTAAACTCTCTCAACTGCTCATGCATATGAATCTCTTCTCATTTGGCGCTGTCTTCTGTCTCCATTGCTTTCCCCTTTATGAAAGGAAGAGAGAGCATATGTCCTGTCTGTGTGGAAACTTCAGTTACTTGTGAACTGGGGTGCCCTTGACGTTGTAGGTAAAAATTAGTTGCTCTTTTTGCATAACCTTGTTTCTCCTTTTCTTTTTCCTATTTGCTATTAGGCAGTTGAACATCCTATTTGTATGCTTGAACCAAAGGATGCATGCTCTCGGTGTGCATGTAAAGGATTGTGCTTATATCTTATGAAAATTAGCATCTGTCTGGCAGCGAATGGGTTGTGGTGTTTGCTCGTGTGCTCTGGTTGTATATCATGAGATGATTTCCTTGCAGGACTTTTGAGAAGATGGAGTCTCATGATGAGACTGGATGCCAAGCTCCAGAGGGCCCCATCCTCTGCATTAACAACTGTGGCTTCTTTGGAAGTGCTGCTACCATGAACATGTGTTCCAAGTGCCACAAGGACATCATACTGAACCAGCAACAAGCACAACTGGCAGCATCATCCATTGAAAGCATTGTGAATGGAAACTCTAGCGGGAATGGAAAAGAACCTGTGGTTGCTGGTGCCGTTGATGTACAAGCTGCACCTGTAGAGGTGAAAATCATTTCCACAGAACCATCCATTGCTTCAAGCAAGCCTTCTGAGATGAAGGCAAAAGAGGGACCCAGTAGGTGTACCGCTTGCCGAAAGCGTGTTGGTTTAACAGGGTTCGGTTGTAGATGTGGAAACCTGTTCTGTGCAATTCATCGTTACTCTGACAAGCATGACTGTCCCTTTGATTATCGGACTGCTGCTCGTGATGCTATTGCTAAAGCCAACCCAGTTGTCAAGGCAGAGAAGCTTGATAAGATCTAAGAGCCATGGACTGAAGTGATTGTTTATGTAATCAAGTATGATTCTTCTCCTTCTGTCCTTGCGTCCTTGTTTAATTGTGGCAGCTTTGTCCTGTCTAGTGTCCTTCATTAATAAAAATGGTTCAGGGCATGATAGGACATTGTCGCAGTCCAAGGAATTTTATATTTCTAGTTGATTGGCGAGGATTCCTTTGTTAGCTCCAGTGTGCAAGTCTTTATCTGTGTTGGTTTGTGGACATGGTTACGGGTTACTTTGTCATGTTATTTGCTGGTTGGTACGCATTTTTTTTTCTGGTATTGCATGGAAAATTGATCTGCCCCGATGCGTATATGTGTACATTTTTCAGTTGTTCATAAATCTTTCAGCAGTTTAATGCTTTTACTCTAGCTATCTGCTCTTCAATGGTCTGAAGCAGTTTTGTGTAAAACCATTTACTGGCAGCTTGTTTTCACTTTCTGCACGATTGTTTGCTTTATATCTGGATAAAGGGTTCCTTGAGCTGTAGATGTCTACCATCAAAAGGCTCACGGGTGTTTCATTTTAGAAACTTTTCATATGTAGTCTTTTGGTGTTATTCTCTGTCGAAATGCCTTTCTTCTAATATAGTCTATTAGAACTGACAGTTCCTATGCATTGCTGATTTTGTGCTAAACTGTTGGATACACTGTCCCAGGATAAAAATTGTGGCCTCTCCTTTTCTCAATGTAATTTGTTGCGTGACTGCTATAGATGATGACTTGGTTTTTGTTCTTATTGCTAAAGGTAAAGGTAGAATTTATTTTCCTCCAGTTATCAACTATCCATCCATTTTTTTCTTGAGTTGGGACAGGCTTCTGGGAGAACGTTTCTTAGGCTTCCTTTGATAGGATAGGTGGTTTTTCCTCGGTTTTTGTTGTGCATTTATATCGGCAAGCTCAGATTATATTAGCCTCATTTCCCTCTTGCCCTTGATGTTGAATATATTTACTATATTCTCTTATTACGTTGTTTTGGTTGTGTTTTATTGCGACCCAAAAGTTCTATGAAACTTAATATGTGTTCAAGATCGGATTGGAATTCAATCGTCAGTTTCATATCAAAACTCCTGTTGGCCTGAACATGCCTAATGGCATAGACTTGAACAGCATCCCCTCCTAGGTTCTCCGCTCTCTCTCACCCCCCGGCACTCATTAACTTTCAGTGGCACGTAATAATTGACACTAGTGTCAATGTTTAAAGTGAACCTCACCGCGAATGAAGTTCTTGAAACCTGTAATGTGGTTAGAATGGTTGTTGAGTATTTGGTTTCTTTGCCTTTTTCTGTACTTCAATCTTTTTTTTCTCGGATGTGGCTCTGCTCATCGGTTGCGAGCTTGATGTGCCCTTCATTTGCTAAAACTTACTGCCAATTGACCTCCTGGATTTTTGAGTTGAGAAGGGTAGGGATAGATCCAGGGTACTTGGGTTCTCGACATGTGACCTTTTTTCGTCTCCTGAAAAAAAAGTGTGATTAGACCAACTTCTGTTGTCATTCCAAACTCCGATGGAGAAATTTTGCATGCAAATGCATTAGTTAATTGATTTTATATGCCTGTGAAAATGTGAGCATACAATAAAGCACTTGATGAAATCCCATTTGAAGAGAGAAGATGTTAGAGAGGCAGTGGAAGAATAAACAATGGGCATCTTTACATTCTGGGGATTTTTGCTTTGAAGTTCAAGTCCAATAGCCCAGCCGCAGTTCTCGTTAGGCCCTCTCCCTACTGTGAGGGATGGGGGAGATTGACTACCATGGGTGGGCTTCATGGCTTCCTTTTCACTTTCAAGCTATGTTTTGGTGAGGTATATCCTTTTGCCCTTATTGATCCACCGCCGTATTCCATCCTTATACGAATATTTCCAACTTACCCTTTTAGTTTTGAAAAAAAATCCTGTTACCCATATTTTGCTAATAGCTCATGAGAGTCAACCGTGTGCGCAACATTGAAATAAAAAGGTGAAATAACACTGCTTTCCACTGGACGTCGTAAGCTATTTTACAATCGAGGGTAATATCGAATCTTTAATGAAATTACAGGATTGAAATAGAAAAAAAAAACAAAAAAACTAGAACTATGTGGATAAAAAAAGTAGGGGTACTCATGGATATTGAGTCGGTTTTTTACTTATAATTGTATTCAACCTAATTTAAGATATACAAAATCTAAACCTGATATATTTCATTATTATTTTTACCCAAGCAGGTTGAGATAATTTTTTATAGATATTACAAATATTTATGAGTTGAGCATATTAATTCCTTTATTTTTTGATGATTCTAAGAAAAATGTTGGGTTGCAATTGTTGCAACTATATAAGACCTCTAAAATGCATATATTAGGGTGACATAAAAACTCATAATTTTTACTTAAAAATAAAAGAAAAATTACAGTCAAGTATTTTATGAAATAGTCAGGGTATAGTATGATATAAAAATAAATCAGTAAGAAAAGACTATAAAATGCTTTTAAGTTTGTAATTTGAGTACAAATATAAAAGTTCAACCTGGATTATTGAAATTTTTATTTGTTTTCTTATAATCTCTTGATTATCAAATAGAAAATATTGGAATTGTAAAATGTATTATTATTCCATCAGATTAAACTTCAAAAGAAACTCATTAATTGCTTGCCAAGAGCATCAATTATATGAGGAAGAGATAAAAAATTGATAAGTAATTAAGTATGTGAAGTTTGAAGAAGAAAATTGAAGGGAGAGAGATTCAATGAATGAGACGGTTGTGGTTGTGATTGTAGGTGTAAATGCTATAAATAAAAAGACGAAGAAAGAGAAAAATATTATTTATACTAAGGATTATATTACATGTATTGGGTTATAGAGGTTAAGTTGGGTTAAACAAGTTTTAAAAATTTTATTTCATACTATTATCTTTTTATATTTATTATTATTTATAATATCTGAATTGAGTTAAATAATACAAATATTATAAATAAACCTGATTGTTTTAACCCTCCTAAGAAAAAAGTGTAATATTGATGAATCTACAGGGGAAATCAAATTCACGTGTTATGTTTTTCTTTTGCGGGGTGAAGTATGTCAAAGATTTATACTCTAATGTGTAGGGGTTAAATCCTGTAACCAAATAATGATAATTGATAATTGGACAAGGAGGACACGGAGGAACATGGCAAGCAAAACAAAGGAGTGGTGTCCCTACCCCCACCGTCTGTTGAAAGCAAAGCTGAGTATTGAGTATTGTTCTTATAGCTTTCTTCGATGCAATAAGTGAAATTTGATGATAGCAAACTTTCGACAGCCCACCACATCATGCCTGGTTTTTTTCATCAAATGACAAAGAGGGCACCCTCAGATCCTTTGTTGGGACTTGAGGGAGGAGGGGCTTCCGTCTAGGGAATATTACACCCAAAATACTAGCTCAAACATCCATAAACCCCTCTCCCCCCACTCTCTCTCTCTCTAGGGAATGTTACAGCCAAAATACTAGCTCAAACATCCACAAGCCTCCCTAGCCTATCTCTCTCTCTAGCCAACAGGAGTTTGTATCTTTATGGCCTTGGATGCTTCAGACGACTGTCTTTCTATCATTTTAAAGTTGACTATTGATTACTATACTAGAGAATATGCATGCAAAACTTTTTGAAACAGGAGATTTGAGTTGTTTAATTATACTTGCAAGTAAACCTTTTAGGTCACTCCTGGTTAAATAATAATAATTATTATTACTATACTACATAGTTTAGAGCATAACTTTTAGTTATTGAACAACGTGTAATTGGTTGACATTCTAATCTGCCAGCCCTACGCCAAACAATGAAATTGCCAATAGAAATATTTGTGGGAGAAATAAAATCAATCCATGGTTATATGTGTTTGAATGGCATAAACGATGTGCCTGAAAAGGGCTGACTCGCCAGCAAAAATTAACGAAGCAGCCCTGCCCTGTATAAGAAAATATTCAATCATTTCTTCGACCACTCTTGATTACATAACAATGGCTCTTGCTAATGATGGTTGCTTGATGCAAAGTATTTGGGATTTGCCTTTAATTTTTCTTGGACCTCTTTTGGGTAAATAGTGCATAGAAATCATGAGCTAACATGGCCTCCTTTTAGCCATCGCATTGAATTAACAATGCGCCGTAGATTTTTTTTTTCCTCTTTTGCGTCATGGGATTGAAGAAGATCTCCTGTGCTGTCCTTGTACGATACAAATCCCAAATGGCAATCATGTTCTTCATTGAAAAGAAAAAAAAGAAAAATCACCCCTTGAATGTTTACTATATTAGTATTTTTCTTGGGCTATATATCATAACCACATTGACTAATTACTCTTCATCTTTCTGAATGATAATCTCTAGTCTCTCAACTGCCATTGCCACGTTGCTTCAAAAAAAAAAAAACTTAGAACTCATTTCGTACTGTAAGAATTATTTTTAAAGTATTTTTTGTTTAAAAATAAAAAAAAATATTTATTTTTAATATTAATATATCAAAATGATATAAAAACATAAAAAAATATTTTAAAATAAATAAAAAATAAAAACAATTTTTTAAAACGTAAAACACAAATGAAACATAAAACATAAATTACGTAATTTATCTTCTTCTTTTTTAAAGGAAAACAAAAAAATTAATTATAATTTTTTAAAAATAAAAGGCATTATAATTGATGATGACCACGAAAATAATCAATTAAATTTCCCCAGTATGCTTACAACCGGAATTCTCACCTGTTTTTTTTTTTTTTTAATTAGCAAGCGAGAACTGCAGTTTTTCTATGTTATTTTTTTTTAAAATTTTTTTTTGTCTATGCTAATTTGCTTTCCCCCACTAAACTGTGCTAATGTTTATACTTTATAAAAAAATCGAATTTTCTTGGGATGCTTTTAAAGCAGGCCTGACAGTGAAAATTTTTAGCAGATCTTTCGCCCCAGGATGCAATAATGGTGTTCTTCTTCCAGCCTTGCACCTTTACATTTTAAAGTCAAGATTTGGGTGAAAAAGGTCAACTGGAAATAAAGTAGGAAGCTGTTTTCCGTTAGTGTTTTGGTGAGTTATCACATCTAAAATAATTAATTTGTAAAGTTACAGGAAAAATAATTTGGGGTTTGCCAGAGTTGAGACTCACAAATATTCTGAAACGCCAGTTTCAGATGTCATATGCGATTCAGCTATCATAAATATTTTCTATGACTCGTATTTTGTATGTGATGTTTGTGATTTTTATAATATACGCGTCCAATCTATTTTATTATCAATTTCTTGTAAAAAAAACATTTATTGATACAATCACAGTAACTAATTCCTTACTATTAAAATACAATTCACATAACAATATATAATATATTAAATCATAAATAATAAATATACACTAAAATTTAA